ATTAAATTATTATATTTTTAATTTTTTAAAATTGATTTTATAATTATTTTATTCTCATTTTAATGAAACGTTAACGAATTCTATTAATTTAAGAACTAAAATTAGAAAGAATAACACAGAACTAGAAAAAAATAAAAAAATAAAAAAATAAAAAGGAGTTTTGTCTTCCTGTAATGACAGCGGAGGAGACCATGAAACACTTTTCAAATTTGATTTCTTCTCTGCAATAATCTCCTTTCTTTTATTTTCCTATAGAAATGGTTTTATTTACTTTGCAATGAAAAGTTTGTATATATATAAGAATACACTTTTTTTATGCTTCCATTGTTCATCCGTTTCATTTATTCTTCTTGCACTTTTGGTGGTTCTGCTTTATTCCTTTAATATGTTTTGATTGTAATTAGTTCATCTGCAGTAATTCCATTGTTTTTCAGCATTAATTAATTTTGCTGATTCATACTCGCAATTACTTCTGATGAGTGCGATTTCTTGAGTAGCAGCAAAATAAGCATATTACTTGTAAATAAAATTTTTCTACTTTGTTAAAGAGGAAAAAGAAATATATTTTTTTATTCGGTCAGAATCTGGTTGTTTAATTTCTTAGTACGCCTTGCATTTTTCAACCAACAAAATTGTCATTGGTAATCATTACAATTATTATGCATGTTCAGTTTATTTTGTTTTTGATTTAGTTATCATGGCTAGGTAAATTCGTTTACATCTAGGATTATAAAACTAGCTCCATTAGCACGCCTAGAAGCAATTAATCTCTGCTGTTATAATTTGATCATGCTTATGTAGGATATTTTTTTATATGTCTTGTGGTGATTCATTTTAGTATATTATAGTTGATTTGAATATCTTCATAATTTATTTTTGGTGAACAACCAAAAAATATAGTACTACCACTTAAGATTGTCTTTGGACTTTTTATATCACTACTTGATAGATTAATTTATTAAGGATTACCCTGTTATAATTATGCTTGTGAAATGAATGATTAATTGTATAATCTGAGACTAAAAGTGAGTGACAATTGCAACTAGATGTGTTTATGTGACCTAGTGGATTAATCTTGAATGTCCATTAATATTTTGTCATCATCTATTTTTACTATTTATAATTTTGTCTTCTCAGTTATTATTATTTTTTTATTTCTCCTAGTTCGCCTAAGTCATTTCTTTGATCTTCTTACAGCACTGCCTGTGGGATCAACTTGTACACGCTGGAGTTCTATAATAACGTCGTGCACTTGTGGTTCATAACTTAAAATATCACAACAAAAATGGTATTTAGCATTTAGTTGGAGCCAAATTTGGTGGCGAGACCCTTTGTTTTGCTCCACTTCTCATAACTGTCTAATAGTGGGTTGTCTAGATCCATGTCTAGGCTGCAAAACTTTCTGAATACTCTCCATGTCTGACAGCTATCACTTATTTCCTAAAACATTTTCACATGTTAAACCACTGACTTTAACTATAACCACGCCCACTAACATTACCTTTAATTCCCCTCATGATAGAACTGTTCTCCTCTTTCTCAGTTTTACCACAAACAAACACTTTATATATGCATTGGTAAGGATGGCAACGGGTCCTCACAGGACGAAAACTCCCTCGTCAATGATGGATACGGGGATCCCCACAAGAATTTTTGATAAGCATTGAAAATTGCCTCCATTCTCATACCCGTGAAGAATAATGGATCCTCATAAGTATATGGAGTTCTTGCCCAATATCAAATATATAAAATTTAATTTTATTTCCTATAAATTAAAAAAATAAAAATTTAAAACAACTCAAACAAATACATACATTACGCATATAGTCCAATAAAGCAATATCTAGTTATAGCGAGCAAATACATACTGCCATGTATGTCTAGCACTCTAGATACAACAGCATGTTCATAGAAAAAAAGAAGAAGCATAAACTACAACCTGCAATTGGCAATTGTAATTTGCAATTTGTGGTTTACTTATTGTATCGAATAGAGTTTGGGAAGATTGGACAAGGAATTGGGCTGGACCTGGGCAATTTAAGTTGAGTTGGGTTAACCAATTGAATTGCATAACTAAAAATTAATCGGTAATATATTTACAAATATATATATATATATATAAAGTACCTGTCAATTTTATCTCTTAATCTTTAGGAGGAAAATCATCTTAAAACTACATCATTTCAATAAATTTTTATTAAAAAAAACTAAACTACCTTATTTTTAAAGCATGCATTAATATAATTTTTATCTTTTTTCTTCTTAATTTTTT